TGCGGTCTGGGGTTCGGTGGTGCAGGGCTCGGCCGGGCCTGGGCCGTCTCTGCAGCCGCGAGGACGGGGGACCCGGAAAATGGAAGAAAGCCCCCTAAACGCAGGGGGAGCCTTACCGGCACCCGAGGCCCCGCCGGCCGCCGCCTGACTCCTGGGCACACAGTAGGTGCTCAATGCAGACTTGCTGCCGAGTGGAAATTGAAGCATTATTTTAGGAGGAAAGCTGCAGGGTGGCCTTTGAATTTAGCTAGCTAATAGAAAATGTGGGAGAAGTTGTCATTCTCATGGGGCCGAATTTAAGCGAATAAAGATACCGACAAGCCCGTGGTCTCAAATCAGCGCCGGAAACTACATCTGTGTTCCCTGCACCGCCCTGCAGTGAACAGCCAGCAGCGCTTACGGACAGAAGCGTCTCCAGAATCAGCAGCATCAGTTTAATAATCTAGGGTGTCACTTAAGTTTTAGTAAAATGCATGCTCTCCCAACAGATTGGAAGCCACGGGAGGGAGGGAAAAGCCTGTTCAGCGAGACGTCCAGGATGGGTTGTGAGACGCTGCTGCCGGGTGTCCGCAGGACTTCGCAGGGCGCCGTTTGGTTACCGCGAGCCAGTTAGCTGAACACTTGCCTCCCGAGCACTCTCCTCTGGCGCCGGGGGTGCTGTGCGGAATGAGACAGGCCTGGGTCCAGCCCTTAACATTGAGCAGATTTGTAACCATCTAGCTGTCAGCATTCCTCCTCCCACTTGGGCAACTGAGTTCCTGATTTGAATCCCGGAGGACTGAGGCAAGGGTTGTAGAGAAATTGAGAACCACTGCTAGTGACTAGATACTGCAAAATAATCACTTAAATTACCTACTGTTTTAAGATACCTGCTCATAATTTTGTTCTGTTTTTAAAACTATTCTTTCCCATCCCCTCACTCCCCTCCTTTGACAACTGTCAGCTTGTTCTGTATATCTAAGGTTCTGTTGCTGTTTTGTTTTTGTTTTTTAGATTCCATTTATGAGTAAAATCATATGATATTTGCCTTTCTATCTGACTTATTTCACTTAACCCTCTAGGTCAGCGGTTCTCAACCTGTGGGTCGTGACTCCTTTGGGGGTCGAACGACTCTTTCATAGGGGTCGCCTAAGACCATCAGAAAACACATATATATTTACATATTGTTTTTGTGATTAATCACTATGCTTTAATTATGTTCAATTTGTAACAATGAAAATACATCCTGCATATCAGATATTTACATTACGATTCATAACAGTAGCAAAATTACAGTTATGAAGTAGCAACGAAAATAATTTTATGGTTGGGGGTCACCACAAAATGAGGAACTGTATTAAAGGGTCGCAGCATTAGGAAGGTTGAGAACCACTGATCTAATTCATCAGATTCTATCATGAAAAAGATAAAATGCCCTTAAGATCTAAGTGGCAGATCCTCATGTCATGGTGGACGCTAAACTCTATGAACCTCTCTGGGCCTCCATTTCCTCATCTGAAAATGGGGTCTAAAACCTACTACTCCCACAGAGTGATTGGTGGAATTTTATGTTACTACTAGAGGCCCGGTGCACGAATTTGGGCACAGGTGGGGTATGGCCACCTGCCCCAATGGGGGCTTTGTGCGCTCATCTACTGATGTACACTAGGTTACTTCCATATCTTGGCTGTTGTAAGTATCCTGAAATGATCATAGGGGTGTATGTAACTTTTTAAATTAGTTTTGGTTTTCTTTGGATAAATACCCAGGGCTTGTCCAGAAGCAGAATTGCTAGGTCATAAGGTAGTTCTGTTTTTCATTTTTAATGGAAACTCCATACTGTTTTTCATAGTGGCTGCACCAATTTGTAGTCCCACCAACAGTGTACAAGGGTTCCCTTCTTATCCACATTCTCACCAGCACTTATTTGTTGATTTATTGATGATATCCATTCTGGTAGGTGTGAGGTGATACCTCATTTTTATTTTAATTTGCATCTGCCGAACTGTATTAAAGGGTCACGGCATTAGGAAAGTTGAGAACCACTGCTCTAGGTCCATACATGTTGTTGCAAATGGCAAGATTTCAATCTTTTTTTACTGGTGAGTAATATTATATACATAGGGTGTCCCAAGAAATGGACACACACTTGAGCAGCTGATAGCTCAGTTTTGAAAATGAAATGTATTTTAATAAACACTGCCTTTGTAATTATTCAGAGTGTGCATACATTTTTTGGGACGCCCTTCTCCCCCCGCCCCCCCCCCCCCCCCCCCCACCCCCCCCCACCGCGCTCATCTACTGATGTACACTAGGTTACTTCCATATCTTGGCTGTTGTAAGTATCCTGAAATGATCATAGGGGTGTATGTAACTTTTTAAATTAGTTTTGGTTTTCTTTGGATAAATACCCAGGGCTTGTCCAGAAGCAGAATTGCTAGGTCATATGGGAGTTCTGTTTTTCATTTTTAATGGAAACTCCATACTGTTTTTCATAGTGGCTGCACCAATTTGTAGTCCCACCAACAGTGTACAAGGGTTCCCTTCTTATCCACATTCTCACCAGCACTTATTTGTTGATTTATTGATGATATCCATTCTGGTAGGTGTGAGGTGATACCTCATTTTTATTTTAATTTGCATCTGCCTGGTGACTAGTGACATTAAGCATCTTTTCATATCTATTGGGCATCTGTATGTCCTCTTTGGAGAAATGTTTATTCAAGTTTTTTGCCCATTTTTTAATTGGATTGTTTGTGTTTTGGGTGTTAAGTTGTATGAGTTCCTTAGGTTATTTTGGATATTAACACTTTATCAGATGTATCACTTCTTTTTTTTAAAATATATTTCATTGATTTTTTACAGAGAGGAAGGGAGAGGGATAGAGAGTTAGAAACATCGATCAGCTGCCTCCTGCTCACTCCCCACTGGGGATGTGCGTGCAACCAAGGTACATGCCCATGACCGAAATTGAACCTGGGACCCTTCAGTCCGCAGGCTGACGCTCTATCCACTGAGCCAAACCGGTTAGGGCAGATGTATCACTTCTGAATACTTTTTCCCATTCAGTAGGTCGTCTCGTTTTGTTGATGGTTTCCTTCACTGCAAAAACTTTATTTTGATGTAGTCAAATTTTGTTTATTTTTCCTTTTCTTGCCCTTGCCCAAGATATATCTAAAAAGATATTGCTAAGAGTGATGTCGGAGTTTACTGCCTATGTTTCTTCTAGAAGTTTTATGGTTTTAGGTCTTAAATTTAAGTCTTTAGTCCATTTTGAGTTTATTTTTGCGTGTGGTCTGATGTCTTTTTTTTTTCAGCATGTGTCTTCATTTTTCCTAGTACCACTTATTGAAGAGACCATGTTTACCCCATTGTATATCCTTGCCTCCTTTATCATAGATTAATTGACCATATAAGTGAGGATTTATTTCTGGGCTCTCTATTCTAGTCCATTGATCTATATCTCAGTTTTTATGCTAGTACCTGCTGATACGTTTTTGCAGTGTATACATTTATTTTAAAACACTGCCTTGTTGAAATCTACAAAAAAAAATGATCTTATAATATTTTTTTTATTATACCATTGAACTAAAACTTACCTATCTGAGATATAAGATAAAGATATAATTGATAGACCCCTACTACATGTAAAAAAATATCGCATTCTAATAATATTAGATATTTGTTTAAAATTTGAAATAACAGGGAAATTATCACTTTTTTCTTATACAGCAACAGTATCAAAGTGCTCTATTTTGGGCAGATAAAGTAGCTTCACTCTCTCATGGTAAGTGACAAATCCTAATTTTTTAAAATTTCTCTATCTTTAAAAATCTTTCTATTTTACCTTGTACCTCTGACCCAATTATGTAATTTTTCCCTCCAGAGGAACCCCAGGACATTTATTGGTTGGCTCAGTGTCTTTACCTGACAGCACAATATCATAGAGCAGCTCACGCACTTCGGTCACGAAAACTAGATAAAGTAAGTGATTGTATGAACGTTAAAGCTTCTCAAAGCTTTTTAAAAATGTCCTTAAATTAGTATCGTAGGTGTTTATTTTATGTGAAAATTATTTAAAAGGATTTAATTTTGCTATTCCTAATCTCAGTAACTTTGTTTTTCCTTCCCACCTCTAGTCACCAAGTTTTAAAAATTCTGTTTTCTAAAATAGCTCTGAAATTATGGATAGTCCTTTCTACCTTGTTACCACTCATACATGTCAGGCCTTTAATTTGTCTGTTTTGTTGTTTTCGCCTCTTCTCTTGTCTCTTTTCTCCAGTAACATCTTTCCCACTCCCCACCTTCCGACTCCAGTTCATTTTTTAAACTCTCACAGGGGTGGTCTTCCTAAAACACAGATCTGATGGTGCCACTGACAATATCGTTCAGTGATTTCCCATTTCCTACAGGATAAAATCAGACGCAGGAATAGACTCCTTTATGATTTCTCACCAGTCTTCTTCTAACCTCCTACCACCATCAGTACATGTAACACTCGCTGAATACTTGTACTACCTTGTACTAGTGGCGATTATTCAGACTCAGTGCCTAGAATGCTGAGTAACTCCTC